CTCAGCCGTGACGTATTATTCTATATTTAGACAAAAAACTTTAAATTATTTTGAATATTTTGTTTATAAAATTTGAATTCAAATTTTAAATTATTTTGAATAATTTTTTAAAACATAATACTCTATGACTTTATTATTCGTGTGCGTGTGAATATGTGTACGTAATTATTGTTGGTCTTTCCCGAAAAACACTTTTTGTAATCTCGAGAAAGTATATCCTAACTCAGCCGTAATGTAGCATAACTCAGCCGTAATGTACCATAACTCAGTTGTAATGTAGCATAACTCAGCCACAATGCGGCTATAACTCAGCCGTAAACGACGTTTCGTATTTCCCTGTTATTTTTGTCAGAAAATGAAAAGTCTCCATCCAAGTTGAGAAGAAATGCGACAATAATAACGACGAGAAAGAGAGAGACACACTGATAATAGGATAAGCGGCCGGAAGAAACGAGAAAGAAAAGCGGCGAGAGTTAGGGTTCTTCGTTGGCTTCGAGAGAGAAAAAACAGTTTTTTTTTTGTTTGTGAATAGTGACGAAAATGTTCAGTTTCTTCCTCTTTTATCATTAAAGACAGAATAATGATGTGGCAATTTCAGATATGACGTGGCATGTCGAATCTGACGTGGCAATTTTTAAGTGAAAACAGATCAAAGGTGTTTATTGTAATTACACCCATCTCACTAAAAATATAAGTAATAAAAAAAAATTTTGGCTGTTTAAGGAATAAACATACAATTGTGGTTTATCTAAGTAATTCTCCCTAAAGTTATTTATAAGATTACCCAAAGTTTAAGTTGTGCTATTAGGTTGGTTCATTTCTTCACCCATAACATTAACAAATCTTATATGAGTGTACGCAACACATGCTGAAATCTTCGTGTGTCTTTTTCTGAACATGAAATCCCAAACTGAGATTGATATGTACATACCAATAACAAATGAATATTTTTATATTCCATCATATTTGTTTTTAACTATATGCAAATCTGATTCTAATAAATTGATAACTGTTATGAACATCAGCATGAACATTGGCAAATCCAAACATACTCAATATCGCTAAGAGCATGGGCATTGGCCAGTCTCTGCCCAGTCTCCCACAAAAAAAGAAAAAAAAAACAAATAAAAAAGAAAAAAAACGGGACGTACCTAAAAATGGGACGTCATTCTTCTTCTTTTTTCACAATTCGCGGGTCCACTAACACGTGCCGGCCCGCGAATGATTGCCTTTTTTTTTAAATCTAAAAATTAAAAAAAAAAAAGAATTCTGGGACGATCCGTCAATGTCAGTGCTCTAAAACAAAGAAAACTTCAGCCACAAGCGTGGTAATTTAGGTTATGGTACGGTTATGTCAATTTTGTGAAAGCATCCTAATATGTATTTAAGAAAAAATTTTATATAATCGGATCAAGTAAAAATTTTAAAAGTGTTGTATGGTGCGACGTGATTAAATCATAATCACTTGAATGTTGTTTTGTTTAACTTCTTTTTTAATTAGGATATTGCACTTTTCCAAATTAAGATGGATGTGTGTTTTGTATGGAAGCATTTAATGGTTTGTCGCTTTTACAAGAATCACTACTATGATTCATTTTTTTAATAATGTTTTGTATATATAAATTGCGACTTATAGTTTGTTTTCAAAAAAACAACAAAGAGAAATTCCTTAGATAGAATGTTTTAAGTATTTTTTTCCAAAAATACCATCATTTATTTTTTTCTTTCAAAAATACCACAAAAGTTTTATTTTTCCAAAAATACCATAAACATACAAAGTTGAATTTTGAAGATGTTGAATTTTTTGTTTTTATGTTTGGATTGACTATTTACATTTAGGGTATAGTTTTTAGAGCTAGAGTGTAGTGTCTAGATTTAGAAAATAGTATTGAATGTTAAATATTTATTTTTTAATTTTGTGGTATTTTTGGGAAAAACTGTAATTTAATGGTATTTTTGGAAAATAAACTTCATAATGGTATTTTTGGAAAAATACTTATTTTGTGGTATTTAAGAGATTTCCCCAAAAACAAATGTCTTACTCGATATTAGCCCATATTACACCACATGTTAGATTTATTTTTGAAGTAAATTATGTAGAAAAGACTTGCAACTGTAACATTTTTAAAGATATTTAAATCTATTTAATTTTCTTCAATTTTCAGGTATTTATGATATCTGATAGGCTGATAATTTGATGTATTAGTATATTTATAACTATAAACTGAGAAATTTTATTGGTACAATATGGTTTTTAGTATAAATTTGACATAATCTTTACTCCATAATTAGTGGAGTTTAATACGAAATAATAGAACTCGACAAGACTCGAATATTCTTAAATTTTAGGATATATTTTTACTCAACCTGATTTTTACGGGTTAAGGATTAAATTATTCTCACTTGACTGCAAATCAAAAAGTATCCTATGATTTGTTTTTTTCTATTTTTTTAATCCTATGATTAAAATGTAAATCTATACATAACAGTATTAAACTGTTTACAGAATTGGGGTTTTAATGGTAACTGGGGAATTGTTGCTGAATCTCGCTGAATTTCTGAATTTTGCTGAAATTTTGGTATTTTGTTTGTTGAATCGAGCTGAATATTCTATTTATGAATGGTAACTACATAATCTAGCTGAATTTTTGTGTTTTTTTTTACAAAATTGGTTATCAAAATTGTTATTCTTAATTTTTTTAGCTATTAAAATTATGTAAATAATTAATAAAAATATTTTTCACATCTCTATTAAGTAATAAATTTTAAAAATTAACATGATATTAAAATAAAAATTCTTAAGTTCCTTTTTTTTTCTTTTTTTCCTCTAGTAATTTAATCAATAATACTAAAAATATGAGTAAGAACATTACTAAAGTTTTTGATATTTTATATAATAGTTCAACTTAAGTATGAGTTGGTTTTTCTAAATTTTCATCATTTATATTAAATTCCATCTATATTATTCATATACCGTTTTTTTTTTGCGAAACTATTATGTACCATTTTTTATTATTTTATTTTATATCTAAAAATGAATGTAAGGTGTATTTTTGATATATAAAATTAAAACTCAAGTTATATATTCATTATTATCCAAATTTTTATCCGAAATGAACGTTTATATAAATTTTCGTGTGTTGAAAAAGCTGCTGAATTTAGCTGAACGTAATTGTACATAAATGGGTAACTAAATAATTGCTGGTGAGATTAATGGATACCTGATCTTAATCCTCGTCCAGCTTTCTGGACGAGGAAGTTTACTTCATCCAAATTTGATGGTTAACCATTTAATTAATCCAATGTATGAGGAATGACATTCACCCATCCTACATGAATTTATGAATCCGGAGGACATTCAGATCATTAAAGGCATAACTATAAGTAAAACTTATAAGCATGATCGATTGATATGGCATTATACAAAATCCGGAAAATATACGATCAAATCAGGATATTGGCTGGCAAAAAATTTGGTAGAGGAGACAGAAATGAGTCCAAATTATACTGCTTGAAAGGCGTATGCATGGCATCTTCGCGCTCCACCAAAGATCAAACATTTTATTTGGCAAATTGCCACTAGTACACTTATAGTCATGGAATGCTTACCTTCCCGTAGGATTTAATGTGATATGGTATGCAAAACATGTGGCTCAGACGTTGAGACCATTAATCATGCGCTTTTCGAGTGTATTCGTTCGAGACGAATTTGGGATTTGTCTACGATTCCGATACTACTTGGTGGTTTTCCTTATAATTCTAGATTAGCGAATCTTGATTTTATCTTTTGGAGTATGGTCCCTCTTTTGAGTAAGAAGGAGAACAAACATTTATTTCCATGGATTTTGTGGTGCATATGAAAGGATAGAAACAAAAAACTGTTCCAAGGAATTCAGTCAGAACCGATAGATATTATTAATCAGGCTCTAAGTGAACAATTACTATGGAAAGAGGCCCAAATAATACCGGCTGAAGTAACTGAACCAGTAGAAGATATATCCATTCCTTCATCGTCGAATCGATGGTTCGTGTAAGTTGGAGATCCTTTTACTGGTTTGGGATGATGGTGATTCAGGGGAGAAGAGCAGACGTTTCTACTAGGTGCTAAGTGTCTTAGAGGAAGCCTCTCACCACTTCACTCAGAATTGGAAGCACTTATATGGGCTATGGAGAGTATTCTTATAAGAAGGATTGACTCTCATACTTTTGAATCAGATTGTGTCAAGCTTATCGCAATGGTGCAAAACCATCAGGAGTTGCCAGCTTTCTCCAATATGTTAGATGAATTTCTTGTGTTACGTGCGTTATTTTCCTCATTTTCTTTAATTAAGATTTCGTGTTCTTGTAATTTAAAAACAGACTGTCATGCTTGTTATTTCAGATCACTTGATTTGGAAATTTTTTTTGTAGACGATTTCTCTCATGATTGGGTTACCAATTATTACCAATCATAGAACAATATTTTAATTAATGTATGGTTGACAACAAAAAACAATTACTTAATCTGGCTGAATTCAACTTAATTTTTTTTTTATATCACAATTTACACTCTCGATCTCTTTATAAAACATATTTTTATTTCTATTTTGACTGTTAGAATCTAAAATTTTTGTTTTCTAACGTCATGAGTCTTCGGGTAACACGATGAAGTATGAACCTATGGCTTGGAAGTATTTTTGAATCTTCTAAAGAATCTAAATAATAAACTTCTAAATTATATTCGTATAATGTTTTTTAATTTTATACCCTAAAGTGTTTAAAGGCGGACTTTTCAACGTTGTAGGTTGTTGTTACATAACAATATAACATATAGCTTTTTTTTCTCACATTTCATTTTAATAAATAAGTGACGCCTCCCCAAATATCAGAATTCGCTTCTTCTGAGTGTATTTGGTTTTAGCCCCACCAACCCACTCGACGGAGTCTCCAACGCCTTCTCCCACTCTCTCACCAACTTCTGATTCAGATCTCCAACGATGCAAAGCTCCGCCGTGTTTTCTCTCTCTCCGTCGCTCCCTCTCCTTAAACCACGGCGGCTCTCTCTTCGCCATCCCTTAACAACCGCCGCCTCTTCTTCATCATCATCAAACCTCAACGATCTCAACGTTTCTCCTAATGTCGTCTCTATTCCTTCTCTATCTCGTCGCTCGTGGCGTCTCGCTTCATCTGATTCGCCTCTCCGAGCTTGGTCCGGTGTCCCTTCGTCGATCTCTCGGTCGTTTGATACGAATCGTTTCAAAACCGCCGCTACTGCAGTTCCTGAGAGTGCTGATGATGGAGAGAAGAGTGGCAAGTTGACGAAGATGTTGGAACTTGGTTTGTTGTTTGCTATGTGGTACCTTTTCAATATCTACTTCAACATTTACAATAAGCAGGTACTCTTTTAGTTTTTCGATTTCTCTACATCTGAATGATTCACTGTTTCATCGGCTTTGATTCGGAGCTGAGATGAGTAATTGAAAGATACGATTAGCCGATTCCGAAAATTTTGGTGTTCTTTGTGTTTTCAGAATGTAAAAGCTTAGATGCATCGTTGTGTTTGATAGTATTTGGATTAGGTTTGATTAGTCATATTGGACCAGAGAGAGATTGGTTGATTTGATTGTGAGAGAACCAATTATAGTTTCTGGTTTCTTCTGATTGCTGCAGGTCTTGAAAGCTCTACACGCCCCAATGACTGTAACTTTGGTTCAGTTTGCTGTTGGTAGTGTGCTTATTACTGTTATGTGGGCTCTTAACTTGTACAAGAGACCAAAGATCAGTGGTGCTCAGGTGTGTTTTTTGTTTTTTTTGTTAATTCACAAGCTTCTTGTTCTGGAGATATGTTACTAACTTTGATGTGTTTTACCTTGGTAGCTAGCGGCGATCTTGCCGCTTGCCGTTGTGCATACACTTGGTAATCTGTTTACGAACATGAGTCTCGGGAAAGTTTCTGTGTCCTTTACACACACCATTAAAGCCATGGAGCCTTTCTTCTCTGTTTTGTTGTCTGCTATGTTTCTTGGGGAGGTTAGCGCTTTTCTGATTTGTGTTTTTCTTTTACATCTTGGAGTTGATTGATGCACTCATGTATACTGTCCTCCCTTCTGGATTAGCCATCGCCTTTGGTTGATTTGTGTAAACTATGTGCTACGTCACTAGTTTTAAAGTTTTAAAAGCATGACTTATTTACCAACTTCTTCTTAGGCGCCTACTCCGTGGGTAATTGGTGCCATTATACCAATTGTTGGTGGAGTTGCCCTTGCTTCAATTTCAGAGGTCTCATTCAACTGGTCAGTTTCTCATGAGTATTGTGACATTTATGATGTGATTTTCTTCTGGTTATTTTCAGATATTTACCATTTTTTACTTTTGTGGCAGGGCTGGATTTACAAGTGCAATGGCGTCAAACTTGACTAACCAATCTCGTAATGTGCTGAGTAAGAAAGTCATGGTTAAGAAAGATGTAAGTTTCCTGTGCGTGGATCAAATTTTCACTTGATGTGTTGTGGAATAGAATAACTAAATTTGATGTTGCGTCTTGGCAGGATTCTCTGGACAACATCACCCTCTTCTCAATTATAACATTGATGTCTCTCGTTCTGATGGCTCCTGTGACTTTCTTCTCGGAAGGCATCAAGTTCACTCCTTCATACATTCAATCAGTTGTGAGTTTCTTTGCTACAAATTGTAAATTTTGTTTTTGTATCCTTGTCAAATATATGTAGTTTTTAACAGCCCATTTCGGTTTTTCAGGGTGTGAATGTTCAACAAATATACACAAAGTCTCTTATTGCGGCGCTATGCTTCCACGCCTACCAGCAGGTGAGCTTTTTACTTACTGATTATGTTGTTTCACTTGAGCATATAAAGTATTTGAATTGACTCTTATAAATTGCCATAAAAATATAGGTGTCGTACATGATTTTGGCGAGAGTATCGCCTGTTACACATTCAGTTGGAAACTGCGTGAAACGTGTTGTGGTTATTGTGAGCTCTGTCATCTTCTTCAAGACACCTGTGTCGCCTGTTAATGCTTTTGGTAATACACAGTCTTATTCTCGGCTTTTGTGAATAAATAATAAGCCAATCTTTCAGAGCTCATTGTTGTTCATCTTGTTCTGCCTGCAGGAACTGGAATCGCCCTAGCGGGAGTCTTCTTATACTCCAGAGTGAAGGGTATTAAGCCAAAGCCGAAGACTGCTTAATCAAATCATGTGCTAATGCCTAATGTCATAACACTCCCGCCCTTTGGATTTTTATACAATTTCTCCTCGAGCTGAAGTTTTTCAGATAGATGGTTTTATTCTTTTGCGGGTTTGTCACGAAGCTTCATCACTTTCTAAGTTTTTTTTTTTGTTCTGCAGCCATCTCTTCTCTTAGAGTTTCTTATAAGTTGTTTGTTCTCTTATGTGTCTAGACGAATGCTAAGCTCTTAAAATGTTTTACAGTTTTCCAAGAATATATTTCCAACAAACTCACTCAATGGCGCTTTTAGTTTACTTGTAAAGGTTTTATTGGAGCGTGTGAATTGGTCATTGAGAGGCTATCAAAAATACCCTTAAAACTAAAAATATTGGTTATTTTTCTCCAAAAATGTAACCGAATTTGGATGTTACTACTCCAAATTCAATGACGAAGTGCCAATTTTGGGGCTTACATTAATTCCAAGTTAAGAATTGATTGCTGTAGGTGATGATTTTATTGATCTCTCAACAAAATACCAATGTTACTTTCATCGTTGATTGCATGCTCTGAATTGGTGAAGATGGTGTCTACACTTACATAGTGCCAACCTTTGTAGCTTATCTAGACAAAGTGAAGAAGAGTAAAGACATGTCCATCATTAAACCTAAAAACTAGCGTAAAGATGATGAAATAGTAATGTCTGTGTTAAAACGCTATTTTGTAATTATAAATTTGAACTAATTTTATTATTTATAAAAGGAAAAATTCATCTTCTTTGAACACTCGCTTTGGAACTATAATTTCCACATTTTTTTTATTCAATTTATTGTTTCAGTTCGTCTTTCTCATAAACGCAATTTTTCGACGTTTCTCTTCACATTAATTCAAATGCATCCCCACTAATTTATGATTCAAACGGATTGATTTCTTATTGGTAATCAACGAATATTCTAGATAAGTTGCTGTCTCAATTCTCATGACTTCTCCAATGTTTTATCATGAACACATTTTTTTTACTAGATTGCCATTTTCTTGTACATCTGATTCTTCATTTTTAGTATCAATTATTTTTATAAGCTTTTTATGCGCTTCAGTCTCTAGTTTCAGAGAATTAAAATTACCATAAATAGGAAGTAACCGTGATACAGCAGAGATTAGGGTTAGGTGAGAGTTTCGTAGTCGGACGGTGAATAGACGAAAAAGAATGACGTTTTCTTTTTAACATTAACCATAGTAAATAACAAAATTAAATAAATTTAAACTAAAAAACCAACAAAATTTTACTATTTATTAACTATTTTTTTGTTGAAGGACATTACTGATACGTCATCTTTTATCACGGCATAAACATGATAACTAGTTTTAAAATTTAAGTTGTTAATAAATTATTTTAGTAATTTATAAATGTTCGTGAAATTCTCTAGAGGTTTCAAGTGTTACCATATGACATTTTAAGATTAAAAATATGATTTTTCCTACAATTATATTTTGTATGCATTCCATTAATTTTAAAATTTATGATTCCTTATCAAGATAAATAATGAATAAGTAAAGTGATCACTAAATTTTAATGAGTGCTAATATTTAATTATTTTCTAATAAAGTTTGTCTTTATATTCTTGATATTTTAAAAACTTATATCCATTTTTAGAAAAATAAACTAATTAATATCAAAATTTATTTTGTTAATTCATTATCTTTGAAGATCATAACATAAAAGATAACATAACATAAGATAAATACATATACCATAATCAACCAAAAACACGTCACAATATGAATGAATGGGATCCTGATTCCTGAATAAGAGAAAAATATATGTATTAGAATGAAAAAAATCTTCATTTTTGTTGTTTATTATGTGTCAGATCCTCAAGACACAAATGACAAAATCAATTTGTAGATAACTTTCTCAAAACGTAAGAATCTTAATATTTATTACTATTCAATTTTACATCTCATCAACCTTATAAAATCAATTCATTGTCAAAAGTAAAAACTCATCATTCAGCTAAACTACTAATCAAAGAAAATGGCGTCTCTATTCTCTTCACTTCTCTTGTCTCTTTGTTTACTCTCTTCACCTTTTCTCTCAAACGCAAACGCCAAATCAAAACTAGGCTTCACCGCGGATCTAATCCACCGCGATTCGCCTAAATCGCCTTTCTTTAACCCGACCGAAACCCCTTCCCAGCGGTTGAGAAACTCTATCAACCGATCTGTTAACCGTGCGTTCCATTTCACTGAGGATACATCAGCTAACTCACCACAAGTTGAGATTACCTCAAATGGCGGTGAATATCTCATGAACGTATCCCTCGGGACACCTCCTTTCCCGATCATGGCCATCGCCGACACCGGAAGCGATCTCCTCTGGACGCAGTGCAAACCATGTGATGATTGTTACACTCAAGATGATCCTCTCTTTGACCCTAAAGCCTCATCAACATACAAAGACGTTTCTTGCTCCTCAAGTCAATGTAATGCTCTTGAAGATCATGCCTCTTGTTCCGTAGATGACACCACTTGCTCTTACTCCATGTCTTACGGGGACCATTCATACACAAGAGGTAACATTGCCGCAGACACGTTAACGTTAGGCTCAACTAATAACCGTCCCGTGCAGATTAAGAATGTTTTAATCGGTTGTGGTCATAACAACTCTGGAACGTTTAACGAAAAGGGCTCTGGAATCATCGGTCTTGGTGGTGGTGCAGCTTCGCTCATTACTCAACTTGGTGACTCAATCGATGGTAAATTCTCATACTGTTTAGTCCCTTTAACTTCTGAAACCGATCGAACGAGCAAGCTCAACTTCGGAACCAATGCTGAAGTCTCGGGAACAGGAGTTGTCTCTACTCCTTTGATCTCTAAGTCTCCAGAAACCTTTTATTACCTAACCCTAGAATCCATTAGCGTGGGAAGCAAGAAAATTCCATTCCCAGTCTCAGAATCTGGAACAACCGAGGGAAACATCATCATCGATTCAGGCACAACTCTAACGTTGTTACCAGCCGAATTTTACAGCGAGCTCGAGGATGCGGTTGCGTCTGCAATCACTGCTGAGAGGAAGGAGGACCCAAAGAAAGTTCTAAGTCTTTGTTACAGTGCAACAGAGGATCTGAAAGTTCCAATCATTACTATGCATTTCGATGGAGCAGATGTGAAGCTAGACTCCTCCAATTCATTTGTGCAAATCTCACAGGAACTGGTTTGCTTTGCCTTTAGTGGGAGCCCGAGCCTTGCCATATATGGGAACTTGTCGCAAATGAACTTTCTTGTTGGATACGACACCGTTTCCAAAAAGGTCTCATTCAAGCCAACGGATTGTGCAAAGATGTAGATGGTTCAGCTTAGTTATAATAATGGCTGATTTCATTTTAGCCTTAAGTAGTTTCTTTGAAAAATTTTAGTTCGTATGTAATAAGGTCTCTGTTCATGGGGCAACTTTGGATTATTCATAAATTAAACAATCAAAGATTTTTTCAATCAAAATTATAATCCGTAATCCCTTATTTTAGGGAATTGTTTCTTTATTTATCTCAAACTCTCTTTAAAATATAATATTTTTTATTTATGATGGAAACCAATCTAAGAAGACAAATCAATAGTTATTAAATTTAAATCATGATATATATTATTTTCTTATATTTTGGTTTTAAAAAATTGAAGTTATCACATTCTCTCCACTAGGTTCGGACTTATAGTTTCTATGAGAGATTAATAAGAACTCAAAGATTAAAGAATAACTCTCTTTATTAAGCTTTAGAAAATAACTCAAAACTAAAGCACTTCTCAATATCTTAATCTCTCACAAAACTCATAAGTTTACCACACCTTGGCAACTATATATATATACTAGTTTAGTACCCGTCCGATAGACGGGTTATTTTTATTTAAAATTAAATTTAAATTAAAATTTATTATAACTTATAAAAAAATAATTTCCAAATTTTTTTTTGAAAAATAAGAGAAATTAATTTCATTTGGAAAGAGATTTTATTTGGTTTGAAGTATCAAATAAACGTGTATATATATATATATATATATATATATATATATATATCTTAAAATTCGTTATTAAACGTTAATTATAAAAATATTGTAATGTCAAATTGACAATCACCAAAACATTTGGGAGCTATTTGGGAGCTATTCACCATTACTCATAATATTTCTAAAATATTTTTAAAAATCTTAATCTAGCAATTATCCTCTAAAACATGATTATACCATTTTGTAAAAAAATTTATTTCTTAACTTTAAATTTTTCAAAAAATCATTCTCTGACTATGAATATTAATTAATTATTATTTAATATGATGGTAAAGTTCTTTCATATTAACATCAATCTAAAATATGATGTTAAATACAAATATAGTCATTTGTAAAATATGGTAATTTTTAAAACGTTTTTAAAAGGTATTTATATGGTATTTTAATTTACACATTTTTTTTTATAAATATCAAATTTTTACTTTTTAATTATCAAAAATACCCTTTTTCCATACCACTTTTTCAAAATATCCCTATTTCAAACTTTATAAAAAAACCACTTTCAATGTTGAAATTTATCCAAATATGTGTGAAAAATTATAAATATACACACAAATTACCTTTATATACGTTTAAATTTATATATATTTCAAATAGCGTAAAATAACTTATAAATAACTTTTAAAAACCTTATAAACCCTTTTAAAAACCACTTAAGAACCTTATAAAACTTGTAAAAACGATTTAAAACCTTTTAAAACATTATAAAATATTTGTAGTAGTTATTATATAGAAGTACCTTATAAACCATATAAAACTTTATAATTTTTCATATTTAAACATGGATATTTTTGAAAATGGATAGATAAATGAGGTATTTTTGAAAAGAGGTACACCAAAAGGGGTATTTCTCAAAAATTATCTTTAATTTTTTATAATCATTTTTTAATGTTGTTTAAAAATTCTATTTGTATCTTAATATTAACAAAATTAGATATAAAATGTTGCGACATCTTATGTTTTTACTTGACACTTATCACGATCACGTGCGTTAGTAAATTTAAAAACCAAGTTTCGACATATAATCTTGTTTAATTGTTAAACTTAAACCTTAATTTTAATTTATAAAGATAAACAATAATTCTTATTTATTATTTATATACCCAAACCAACAAATAACCTGATTTAATTGTAAGATTAAAGTTTAAACCTTAATCCTCTTCTGTAAACAAAAACCGCCATATATTCTTGTTTATTATAAATTTTAAATCACTATCTTATTAATAAACCAAATTGACATAACTGAAATTAGGTTATTTGTTTAATTTATTAATAATTTTTAATATATAATTCTTTATAATATTTATTTTATATATTTCCTTTTTCGATAGGGTTAATAATAATTCTATTTTATCCAAATATTAACAAAATTAGTTACGCCACGTGTCAACATCTTATCGTTTATAATTGACACGTGTCACGATCTTGTTAATGGCTGACTTTGAAAACCAAGGTTTATATAATAAGATATATATAAAATCCTTAAACTAATTTCCTTTTCACTTTAGGAAGTATAACATTGTTTTAGACAACTTTCTAAAACACTTAGCTAATCCTAATCATAACTCGATTAGGAAAAGGGTTAACTCGTTTCTCAAGCCATCTTATTCTTCAAGCTTATCCCAATAATCTTCCCCTTAAGCTTGAACTCCTTGTTGGACACACTTTGAACTCCAATATGATCTCTAATTTCTTTGAAGTTGTTCTTGTCAAGTGCTTTGGTTAAGATGTCAGCCCTTTTCAATTCCGGGCACATGTATCACCTCGACTTGACCATTCTCAACACATTCACGAATGAAATGGTACCTTTGATGAATGTGTTTACTACGCCCATGATAAACCGGATTTTTTGTAAGTGCAATTGCGGATTTATTGTCGACTTGTATAGTCACCTTCTCACATGTTGCTCCAACGATTTCAGCAAAGAGTTCTTGTAACCATATAGCTTGCTTGGCTGCTTCTGTTGCTGCCATAAATTCAGCTTCAGAAGGCGATAAGGCTACAACTTTTTGTTTTTGAGAGCACCATGTGATCGGACATTCGTTGAAGTAAAACACATGACCTGCGGTACTTCTTCCATCATCCACATCAACACTATGGCTGCTATCACTATAGCCAACTAAACCCGATTGATCACCTCGCTTAAAGAGACCATGAGTAAGTGTTCCTTGAAGATACTTTAAGACTTGTTTCAACGCAGTTCTATGTGACTACCTTGGTTCTTGTAAATAACGTGACCAAATACCAACGGGATAAGAGAGATCTGGTCGAGTATGAAGTAGGTACTTAAGACACCCAATTTTCCTTCAATAGCTTTGTTCATCAACACGCTTAGGGTCTCGATCCTTAGAAAGTTCCAAACCCGGCTCCATAGGTATAAGAACAGAATTACACTCACTTAATCCAGCATCTTCTAGTATTTTCTTCGCACATCTTTCTTGTCTTAACACAATCTCATCTTCTCCTTGTAGAACTTCAATTCCAAGATAGTAGGTAAGCTTACCTAAATCACTCATTTCAAACATTCTGGACATTCCTCTTTTGAAATCAATGATCAAGTCAATACTAGAACCTATACCAAGCAAATCATCAACATAAACCGCCACAATAAGAAGATGTTCTTGCTCTTGTTTTCTGTATAAAGAAGGTTCCTTTGAGCATCTTTCAAACTTCAATTCACCAAGAATCTGATTCAACTTGATTTTCCATGCACGAGGTGCTTGTTTCAATCCGCAGAGAGCTTTGTGTAGTTTATACACTTTCTCTTCACTGTTTTTAATCACGAATCCCTCCGGTTGCTTAACATAAATATCTTCTTTTAATTCTCCATGGAGAAAACCAGTCTTCACATCTAGATGATGAACTTCCCAACCATTCGATGCTGCTAAAGCGATGATAAAACGTATTGTCTCGATACGAGCCACATGTGCGAAGACCTCATTGAAGTCTATTCCATGTCTCTGTACATAGCCCTTTGCCACAAGTCTTGCTTTGTATTAATTGATGCTATTATCTGAATTACATTTTATCTTAAACACCCACTTTAGTCCTATCGATTTTGCTCCAGCAGGAAGATCAACCAAGCTCCATGTTTGATTCTTGTTTATTGACTTAATCTCTTCTTCACAGGCATCCCTCCAAACTTTCTCTTTTCTCGCTTCATCGGAGAACTATGGTTCATCGTTAATCATCAGTAAGAGATGTTCTCCCTCAATCTCTACAAATAACATATAATCGCTGAAATAACCAGGGGCTTTAACTTGTCTTTGCGATCTCCTTAGCTCTTGTACTACTTGATGTTGTTCTTGTTCATCCTCAGAATCATGTTCTTCATTTAATGACTCAATCTCATCGTCATCTTCTACTTCACGATTCTCATCACTTTCTCGAGTATAATCTCTGTTTTCTGTAATTTCTCTACTTTCCTCTGTTTCGACAGTAACATCACTTGCTCTAATGCCGTTATTTCCAATATCCCCAAAAACAATTGTAAACATACCAGAAAGTGTAGATGCCTCCTCTGAACTTTTCCACTTCCATCTTTTGTCCTCATCAAAAAAAACATCTCTGCTTACTATGACTCTTCAATTTTTTGGGTCTAAAAGCCGATAAACTTTTGAACCGGGTTCTGTACCGAGATTCACAAGCATCCTTTATCTATCATCTAACTTCTTTAGATGTGGAGATTCCACCCTAGCATAGGCAATGCAACTAAACACTCGTAGATATTCTACACTGGGTTTCTTGTTCTTGAAGACTTCATACGGTGTTTGGTCCGGCAAAACTCTTGTTCCAACTCTGTTGATGATATAAGTTGAATGGCGAACTGCTTCTCCCCACAAATAATTTGGCATGTTCGTGTGCTTTAGGATGCTTCTTTTCATCTCTAACAAGGTCATATTCCTTCTTTCAACAACACCATTTTGTTGTGGTGTATATGGAGCAATGAGATGACGATTACTACCTTCTTGTTCACATAAATTTTGGAACTCTTGGGACACAAATTCTCCCCCTGTCTGTTCGAAATGTTTTGATGGCAAATCCAGTTTCTTGTTCTACTAAAGCCTTGAATTTCTTGAAATTTTTGAATGTTTCACCTTTTTCCTTCAAGAGAATCGACCACATGTATCGAGAATGATCATCAATCAACACAAAAATGTACCTCTTTTGCGTAGCTGTAGATGGTGAAATAGATCCACAAAGATCTCCATGAATAAGTTCCAATATTTGTGATGCTCGATACGATGTTGCTTTTGGAAAAACCTTTCTTGCTTGTTTTCCAAGTAA